GCATCCTTTCCTAGAATTGGCCAGTAATACCATAAAACTATGAGATCTTTAAAAATTGTTGTTAGGTGCCACTGTGTTGACCATTACTCCTCGTGCCATTATAAATAACAGATCTAAACCCTCTCCTATCCTTCACCAGCCTCATTAACTTTAACATAATTTACCCCATTATACAGTCAACATATCAGTCCATCTGGTAGAAGGTTTTTCTCTCCTTCACTGACCTTCTACCTTTCCAAGCAATAGCTCCTCCTAATAACATGCTTCAAGTATGTGAGACAAGGCTTTGCCATCCTTGCCTCCAAAGAGCTCTCTGACTTCACTCTCTTCAAGACTGGTGTTTGGATAATCTGTACACCCTAAACTGCACATTAAGTTGAAGTCTAGATAATTATATTAAAACTAGCAATTTTTTTGCAGCTTCATGAAAACTCATGAAATGGAAAAGACAGCAGGCTAGTGATCTGCTAGCACCTCCAAAATGATGAGAAAATTAGTTCCTTGTGAGTTTACTTTGCCTTTGTATATGTGATCACTTAGTTAGGATCTTTGTGTGTTTTTATTGTTTTGGTTTTTTTTTTTCAATAAACTAATAAAGATGGAATTTCAATTAAAAAAAAAAAAAGACTGGTGTTTGTTCTTTTGGCAGTCTATGGGGTATTCAGTACTCTTCTCCAACACCATACCCCAAAGGCATTGATTCTTCTGCATAGCAAGTGACTGAAAAGTCCATTGCCTGAAGCAAGTACACCTTAGTCTTTAAACTTATATCATTGTTCCTTAGTATTTTGGAGAGGTCCTTGACAACAAACTTTCCAAACACAATATGTCTTTTAATTTCTTAACATGTTGATTGTGGACGCAGGCAAGATGAAATTATTGAGGACTTCAGTCTGTTCCCCATCTAACATAATATCCTATTGGCTGAGCGATGAGGATTTCAGTCTTTTTTATAGTGAGATGTAATCCATATTGAAGGTTGTAGTCTTCAATCCTCTGTGTGTGTGTGTGTACCATCTAACTGGATCCAACTGGCACAGGAGGAGATTGCCCCTCTTTCTCCAGTGGAACATGTGCATCTTCAGGATTGAACTGCAGCTTCTTTCCACTAGGCCACCAGAACTCCAGTCTTTAATCTTTTTTAATCTTTAATCTTTTGTAGTGTTTCAAGTCCTTCTTACTTTCAGCAAGCCATATTGTGTCATTCACATAATGTAGGTTGTTGATGAGAATTCCTCCAATCCTCATGCATATTCTTCTTCATGAAGTCCAACTTCTTGAATTATTTGATCAGTATACACATTGAGGAGGGATGGAGAAAGGATTCAGCCCTGAAGCAAATCTTTCTTAATTTGTAGGGTTAGAGATATTTGAGAATAAGAATTATACTATATTAGGAAGTGACATCCTGCCTCCTGGTAGTCATCTTACTCAGGCTTAACAAAGATGCTTTGCTCTCAGATAATCCCCACATCCCCTGCCCCCTGGCATGGTTACAGAGTGAGGTATCTGTTATATCATCCTTTTTCAGAGGTAATTCTTCAGGCTCCTTTTATCCATTGGAAAAAAGTGTTGACAAACAGTGCTCTGGTAATCATAGTCTAAGAAACCTACCAAGAGGTTGCTGTATTATAAGCAACTGAAAGTTGTACCTAACACCTAACTTTATGAAAAATTTTAATTTGGAAACTTTCCATGCATTTATTTGGGGTGGGGGAATCAAAGGTGATTGTTTTTCTGTTTGGAAAATATGAGTTAATTCAACTGAGGTTTAAAAAAACTTTTAGATTTAAGATTTTAACAAACTTTCAGAGGAATATGGATGTCTTAGTTCATTTTGAAAGTATTCTTTTAAAAGTCTTTGCTTCTGAGTTGTCTTCTCTGGACTGTCATTCTGCAACTACTGCTGGAAAACACCACCCTTTTTGGGGCTTCAATAGAGTTAACAACTAACACTGAAAAATTAAGTTTTAAGCTCACTGTCTCGTCTCTCATACTTATAAGCAAATTTCTCATATTAACATTTGAAATGTTGTTAGCCTTGGAATCTTTTAAGATTTGTTACAGCAAAAAAAGAGATATATTAAGTAATTAAATTACCTCAACATCTCCTCACAAGTGGGCCAATAAGCAACATCGTTGTTAAGAAATCAAATGATGCCCTACAATGGGCAAATCTGCTGTTAAGGACTCCTTTAGAGAGCAAAGATGTCACTTTGAGGACTAAAGTGTGTTTGACCCAAGCCATGATCTTTTTAGTGGCTTCATACAAATGTGAAAGTTAGACAATGAATAAGGTATCCTGAAGAATTAATGCCTTTGGATTGCAGTGTTGGTAAAAAAAAATACTGAATATAACACGGACTGCCAAAAGAACAGAGAGCTCTGACAGCCTAGTGGTAAGGAGTTGCACTGCCAACCAAAGCCACGTGGTTTCAGTCCACCAGCTGGCTCCACCGGAGAAAGATGGGCAATTTCCTCCCATGTGAATTAGAGCCTCTGAAGTCTGTCAGAGGATCTGCTGTCACTCAGTTCTTACTCAATGGTACATAATAACAACAGCCAAAAGAACAAAACTATCTTGGAAGAAGTGCAATAAGGAAGTTCCTTGGAAGCAAGGTTGGTGAGACTGTGTCTTACATTCTTTAGGAATGTTATAAGGAGGGACCAATCTTTGGAGAAAGGCATTAAGCTTGGTCAGAAAAAAAAAAGATGAAGATTCCCAAAAAAGATGGACAGACACAGCGGCTGCAATAATGACCTCAAGCACAGAAGTAATTGTGACGATGACACAGGGCAGAGCAGTGTTCTGATGTACACAGTGCTGCTATGAGTCAGAGCCAACTCCACGGCACCTAACAACAAGTAATTAAATGGATTTTACACGTTTTCTCAAAGTCTTTGAAGTATTACCTAAATTGTTTAATTATTAGCCAGCAGTATATGCTGGCAAAGTATCAAGATTATTTTTCTCATTTCTCAGTTTACTCATTTTAACTCCACCTACTCACTTTTTAAAGGTTCCTCCACGTTGTAGAATTATTTTTAAAAAGATAAAGCCAAACGTATGTCAGCATACATTTGGATTGTCCATTTCACAAAAAAAAGTCAGAGAATTAATTTTTACTGAGACTTGTCACTAGCAAGGTGTAATAGAGAAGAATTAATTTTCTCCTTGAATAGCTAAAAACCTGAACAAAGTATCTGAATCTATAGTTTTCTCCTACTTGTCAGAAAAATAATTTTGTAGAGATGGGAAAAGAGTGATTCCTATGATTGCTGGAGACTAAAGGAGACTTTTCAAATTTCAGTACAGAGATGAGAAACTAAAGGCCTGTCTATGTTGAGTTTAAAGATTTGGGAAATTAAGGTATCAGAATTTTCTGGTGAAAAAAAGAGAGAATTGAAAAACAAGTAAGAGTTCTGGAGGGTTCTTATGGTTATTTAGCTGAGAAAAAAAAGTCAGTATGTTAAGAACATGTTAAGACATAAAAAAAGATCCAGATTGTGGAGTTTATTGTTCAAAATGGCTTTCCTTGCCATTGAATTTGACTCTGCCATGTGGATGGGTGCGAATAAGAGAATAGGGCATGTTAGCCTATCCACAAGGGGACTGGCTAGTCTTATCAATCCACAAGGGGATTTGCTACTCTCACCATTAAATTGAGGAGATGTAGTAGCAGAAAGGAAGATATTCCTCACCAGTAAAGAAGCAGCAAAAGTGTAGAACATCTTTTGGGTCTGAAATTCTTATGTAAACTAGATCTATGGTGGTAGCAGCAGCCATGGCTAAAGCAGAAGACCAGTAACCCAACATGAGATGGAGCTGACCTTGGGATTGCTACTCACCACAGACAAAATCAGAGCTAAGTTAAGAGCTTTTGCCTAACCTTACTGGACAACTTGGGTGGTGGGGAAAGAGTCAATATTGGCAGAATTGAGAACTTTGTAACACTAGCCTAAAATCACAAGGCTCAAGGCCAAGGCATCCATAAGCACATTCTGGAAGCTGTCTTGACTGTGTTCTGCAGTTCGTTGTTGTTGTCTGTATACCATTGAGTCGGAACCGACCCATAGATGACCCTCCAGAGGGTTTTCAGAGGCAGTTAATCGCACAGGAGGAGATTCCCTATCCTTCTCTCCTGGAATAGCTGGTGGATTCAAACTACATGCCTTTGGGATTGCAGAGCCACCAGAGCTCCCTTGTGTTCTGCTACTAATCTGAATTATATAGCTTTTTAACTTCCGTAATATGGTTTTGTGTGGTCTGTGAACTATCTTATTGGATTCTGGACCCAGTTAAGCAGTAAGATTGGTGTTGAGATGAGTAGAGAGATGTGTGGGAGCGTGACCTCATGGGAGCTGGTTTTGTGTTGCTGATGCTGTTTCTGGGGATAGTCTTCATTTGTGAAGTTGGTAAAGGTCAGCTATAACCATCCTCATATCACTCCTGCTCTTTTTATACAAATCAAACCTTTATAGTTGAAAAAAAATTACTAAAAATGAGTACTGTATTGCCTAAGTTTATTAACTAATTAGACACCAATTCTTTGCCATTAAGTCCATTACCATGCATAATTGTTGATGTGTGGCATCAAGTTGAAACTGACCCCAGAGCTGATGTTGGGAGACAATTAATTGCACATGAAGATGGTGGATTTGAACCACGTGCCTTTGATTTGGCAGCATTAATTCCTTTCCACTAAGCCACTAGATCACAGTGACCCTGTATTATAGAGTAGAATGCCCCACACAGTTTTGCAGCTCGTGGCAAATATTTGTATTCGAAAAGAATAAAAAACACAACACAGGCTAACCAAATATTTTCAGATAAATATTTTAATTACATTAAAAACAGAACAAGAGTTATATAACTATTAACAGATATACAACTGTATGTACTTATGTTCTTGAAAGACATATACAAACAGTATGTTAGGGTATTTGGGCTATGTTTGTAATAAAATCAACAAAACAATACACTAAGGCACGACTTTATTTTAGTGCTGTAGAATCTTATATAAATGAATTTGTTCAAGAGCTTCTCTGTCAATATCCTTTTCTGGGTAGACATCATAGGTCAAAGGTATCTCTTCAACCCAGAGGGATAACTGTATATTAGTCTAAAAAAAATTTAAAAACAAACATTAAAATTGCAGACTGATGCTATTCTCTGGAATGTTAAGAAATCATCACTAATCCAGTAATTACAGACAGTAGATTTTTATTATAATGGTAGGACTTAGATGTACATGGTGCCATACAAATAATTTCCCTGTGGTATTGTGGTATATACTAAAAGGTGAGCTGGTAGTTTAGGGACTTAGTTAATCAACTTTAAAATATGAAAGAATAAAGAAAACAGAATGGAATAATTATTTTAATGCAACTAGTTTAATAATAATTATTATTACGTTTAAATAATAAAGATGAAAGCCAACGAAAATAAACAGAGGACACAGAAAATCTGCTTACATAGTAAACATTAAAAACGGATGTTAACCAGAAATTGTTTAAAAAAAAAGTATGGACAAAGAAGAAAGATAACACCATAGAAATTCAAATAAGTAAAAATGTTAGCCAAGAGAAGAAAATAAGACTAAAAACATATATTTGTTAGGTACATCAGTTCCTGAAGAATAAAAACTCCTTTAAACAGATATTTTTAGGGATGGCTCTAGAGATACTGTGGTTTGAAGGCTAAAGTTTTTATTTAAGGAGAAGGAACTGATAAAAATTATGGAGGAAGAGAAGTCTTTCTCAAGTGATTTCTTAATAGTATTTAACAGACCATATGTTAGGTTATAAAACAAGCCTTAATGAAACAAAAAGCATCAAAATACTACAAAGCTTTTTCTCAGATCACAATACAATTAGAAATCAACAACAGGAAGAGCAAGGGGAAAAAAATAAGTACAAGGAAACTAAGCAATACCCTGCGTGAACACTATTGGGTAATAGAAGAAGGAAAAAAAATAGTAATTACAAAGTTCTTGAAACAAATGAGCATGAAAACACAACTATCACAATCTTTGGGGGACAAACAAAGCAAAACTCAAAGGCTGATTTACAGCAATAAATGCACACATCAAAAAGAAGAATCAAAATCAATTAATACCTCAACCCAAAATGGCCAACAATTAGAACAAGAACAGCAAGTAAAGCCTACAGTCTCCATAAGAGAGGAAGTAAAAAAGAATAGGTATAAATGAAACAAATCAGAAAAATTGCAGAAAGAAATCAACAAGAGTGGAAATTGGTTCTCTGAAAGGATTAATATAATTGACAAGTCACTAGCAAGTCTAACAAAGCGAAAAAAAAAAAAGATGCAAGGAGTACAAATAAGAAATTAAATTAATGATGCCACAAAAGGATATAACAACAGAATACTATGAATACATATTTGAAAATCTAGAGGACACAGGCAAATTTTCAGCTACTTTTGTTTATAAAGGAGCTCTGGTGACACAGAAATCACTTGAGAAAAAAATCACTGAGAAGGATTTACCCATAACTTCTATAAGGTCCCTTTCCTCATATAAAAACACCATGGAAATTCTCGAGTCATCACTGAAAATACTTGTTAAAAGGAGTTTCCTTTAATAGGAATGGAATAAAGTTATTGCACTCTATATATAAGGACTCTCTTAGAAATACTAATTTCTAAAAAGCATCTGAACATATTTATAAATTGTTAAGATAGCTTTTGCTAAATGAAAAATCACTACATGATTTCAACATATATGGAAATGACAATATATGTTAGACACTGTATTTATAAAGGTATGTTTTATGAATATGGAAACATCTGCTGGATCAGATCATTAAAAGAGTGACAATCGTGATGCAAATGAACCAGGAGGGAAGGGTAACATCTTTTCTTTACATATTTTAAGTCCTTTGTTATAACAAATACTAGGTACTTTCGTAATTTTCATAGTTGATGAAAACTTTTAAAAATATATGATTGGTAACTTGATAGGTTTTGGCGTTTTTTTGTAAGCAGCAGCAGGTTCTTAAATTTGTCAATGCTCAAATGCACTGTAATGTATACTGTTAATGAAAAAAGTCTTTTTTAAAAAATATACTAATGCTTTCTACGAATACAGCACCAAAAACAAAGAAAGAAACCCCTGCCTTTCCCAAAACTGATGCAAAATCAAAGGTGTTAAAGGCCAAGAATACAGTTCAGAAGGGCATCTACAGCCACAAAAAAAAAAAAAAGAGCTGCACATCATCTACCTTCTGGCAGCCTAAGACGCTGAGACTTTAAAGGCAACCCAAAGACCCCTGGATGAGCGCCCCCAGGAGAAACAAGCTTGACCACTATGCCATCATCAAATTTCCCCTGATCACAGTGTCAGCTGTGAGAAAGATAGAAGATAACAACGTGCTTGTGTTCATCGTGGATGTCAAGGCCAACAAGCACCAAATCAAACAAGCTATAAGGAAACCTATGACACTGATGCGGCCAAAGTCAACACCTTGATTAGGTCTGATGGAAAGAAGAAGGTCTTTGTTTGGCTTGTTCCTGCCTACGATGCTTTGGATGTTGCCAACAAAATTGGGATCATCTAAACTGAGTCCAGCTGACTAATTCTAAATATAAATTTTTCTCACACACACAAAAAAATTATTAATTTGTTGCTGTTAAGCCAGTTCTGACTCACAGTGACCCTCTTAAGACAGAAGCAAACTGCCTTCTACTATTTGCAAGAGCAAACTGTAGACATCTTTCTTACATGGAATGGGATGATTGATCTGAATTGCTAACATCTGGTTAGCAGCCAAGTGCTTCATCAGTGTATTACCAGGGCTCCTTTCATCTAGGAATTTTTTAGTACTTTATGAATACTAATTAACCTTCACATAAGGGTTAATTTATTGGTCTGAATCTTACTATAAAATATAAACTTTATTTTATATGGATAATTTGAGGAACAAAGAAGTGGACTGTACAAGATTTCAAACTGACCTAGAAGTTAAACTGCAAATAGTATGTGAGACTTCTGTTCGCTTACTTGATTCTAAAAGCCTTGAACAATTCTGTGCTGTGGATATTCTTTTTTTTTTCCATTTCAATAAGCATAGCTACTCACATAGACTTTATTAATTCAAAATGTACATAGATAATGCACAATTAAAGGTCAGAGAGCCCAGCAATTCCTTTGCTGGGCCGAGGTACATATTCAGATCAGCATACTGTGATACACTGAATGATACACTTAGGCTTTTTTAAAGCCTTTTAGAATAGGATAGATGTTTTCAAATGCTTCGTAGATCTCAGAACGTTCCTTGGCACCTTCAAATCGGATCTGAATGGTACAGGAGGAAAGTGCCCTTCGTTCTCCTGCAGAGCATCTGGTGGATTCAAACCATGGGACTGTGGATATTCTTAAGCCTCTAATAATATTCAATAACTTTTATATACTTAAAACTAAAGTTCTACAATTGTAAAAACTGGGTAGAGAAGCAAGAGCATTTTTATCAATATGTTGTGGTTGCTGGGTGCCACCAAGTCAATTTTGACTCTAGACAGACAAAGTGGAACTGCTACAAAGGAGTTTCTAGCCTTTCTGTACTTTTTTACAGGAAGGAACACTAGTGACACAGTAGTTAAATACTTGGATTCTAATAGAAAGGCTGACAGTTCAACTCCTGAGCTGCTCTGTGGAAGAAAGATTTGGCAGCTGGATTCCATAAAGATCACAACTTTGGAAACTCTTTGGAGCAATTATACTCGGTCTTACATGGTCACTATGAGTTGGAATCAACTCCATAGCAACATGGATTTTGTTGTCTTGGTGTCCCCCCCACCCCCCATTTTATTCTTTATCAGAGCAAATCATTAGATCTTTCTCCTGTGGAGGCATTGAGGTACAAGTGAACTACCAATTTTTCAGTTAGTGGCCAAGCACTTAATAATTGCACTACCAGGGCTACTTTATAGCAATATAAGAATTAGAATTTTAGATGTCCTGAAGCCAGTGAAGAAACCATAAACCAGTACTTAAGCCAGAAGGCTGTGATATTAACCTCTATTATGTGTCAATGTTTTTAGACAGACATTTTTAGAATATTGTAATAGACGTATAAACATTTTGACACTAAAAATATTGGAAAGGAGACATATATACCTGAAGACCTGAGAGAGCCTCTTGAAGACTTGGTACAGTAATTAATAATGATCCTTGTTTCCTCACATGATGGCTGATATATTCCCAGGCTCTATAAGATATTAAAAATGGATTTTAGATTACCAGACACTGTCAAAGGGAAAAAAATTAGAAAAAGAAAGTGCAGCTTAGGTAGCATCTTAGATATCTGGAATAAGTTAAAAATTTTGTCAGGAGGAAATAAGATTGCGGTTTTGCTTGTTTTTTGTTATTTTTTAAAGTATTTCCAATATGTAAGTCACTGCAGAATTGTATAATTCTAGCAGTAATTTCCAGTATTATTCTTATCACCAAGGATAAGAATTACTCAAAGGCACATAACATCAGCATATTTAAAAAAACCTAATTGCCATCTAGTCAAAGAACTGAGTCAGAGCTGACCCTCCAGTGTTTTTTCATACACTGTGTATAAATCACACAGGAGGAAATTGCCCATCTTTCTCCCATGTTGCTGCTGGTATATTTGAATGAACTAAGAGTCATCTTTGAGTTAGCAGCACAACATCCTACCAACAACACCAATGACTGGTCAATACCAGAATAGAGGCAAATATACTGAAACTGCATCTCACATACTTTGGGTATGCTGTCAGGATGGGCCGGTCCTTGGAAAAAGACACTATGCTGGGGAAGATGGAGTGTCAGAGAAAGAGAGGAAGACCCCTAACAAGATGGATTGACACAGTGACTGTAACTGGGTTTGCATGTCAGAGACCTTGAGGACCGTGCAGGATAAGGCAAGGCTCCAATCTGTTATTCATAGTGTTGCTGAGTTGCAGTTGCTGCTATGGCACAAAACACCACCATCACTTAGGATATTGATCTTTAAGAGCTCTAGTTAATTTATTTTTAAGATGTGCCATAGCTTCAAGAGTGGTCCAGTGGGCTTGAGTCGCTCTAATGCCTCCCCCTGAAAACCATCTCAGTAGCTTAGTCCCTGCTCTGTGGTAACCATGTGCAACTGAAAGGCAGTGATCAAAAATGTAAACATGTAGAGAAGATGTAACTGAACTTGGTGGAATGTGAGACCCAGGCATTGCAGAAATATAACATAGAGAAGGACGTCGTGGCCCACATCAAGGAGGATGACAAGAAGTACAACCCCACCTGGCACTGCATCGTGGGGAGAAACTTCAGTAGTTACATGACACATGAAACTAAGCACTTCATCTATTTCTATCTGGACCAAGTTACCATTCTTCTGTTCAAATCTGGTTAAAGCATGGACAATGCCCATACACCAAGTGATCCATCCAAAAACAAAGACCGCAGCCTAAATTACAGAGACTGAAATCTTCAGCCTTGCTAAGGGAATGCCTCCATCTTTGAACCTTTATTGTGTTTTGTATAGGATTTTCCTCTGTACCAGTTTGTTGTAGTTAGAAAGAAATTAACAAATTAAAAAAAAAGTTCTATTATTTATAATCTCCAATTTTCCTTAATTCACATTTCATATATTTCACATTCTGATTACTAATGGATGTTTGCAGTTATACTCATTGAGTCAGGCCAAATCAGAAAATGAAAGTCTTAGAGTTTATCCACCTACATCAATTAAGGCTGACTCTTTTTTTATAAGGAGAGAGGTCCTCCTCAGCCATATTTTGAGTGTCTGTCAATTAAGAATATCAAGTTCCAGCACTGTATTGGACAATGTTCTGCTGTTACTCATAAGGTGCAGCAGTTAATGGATGTTAAATTCCTATGACTTTTGTTCAAATCAGCATTATTAAACAGGGACAGGGCTGAGACTGTTATAAGTAGAGGTGGGGAAGAGTCATAAGGAAAAATCATAGAGACAAACATCAAGCAAAGATTAACAAGAAGGATAAAATATAAAGATCAGGAGTCTCAGCGTGGTCAAAAAGTTACTATACAGGATTAAAAGGTTGAAAGTTTGCGTTCCCCCTGAAATGCTTCTGAAGAAAGGTGGTCTACTTTCAAAAGCTCAAGTCACAGAAAACCTGAGGAGGACAATTCTACTCTTACACACATGGGCTCCCTTGAGTTGGAATTAACTCCATGGCAACTGGTTTCATGTAAGCTCTTTAAATATAACATCAAAAGTAAAGTCATACTTTATTTGGCTCCCAATGTGGTTTTGATGAAAAACACATACTATGCCATGGACTGCCAAAAAAACAGACAAATCTTGGAGGATGTTCTTTGAAGGCAGGGACAGCTAGACTTCCCCCTATCAGAGGAAGCTATCAGAGGAATCAGTCTCTGCTGAAATACATCATGCTCAGAAAAATACAGGTTCCACAAAGGAGAGGAAGACAATGAGATGGCTACAGAAAGTGACTAAAATAATACGCCCTACAGAGATAGTGAGGATGACACAGGACGGGACAGGGTTGTATTCTGTGGTACATAGGTTTGCTATGTGTTGACGCAGGTGACAACAATATTTGGTGGAAGGGTTTTTGACATGACACTTGAGAAGGTAAGTGGGACAAGCTAGTTTCAAAGCAAAATGGAATACTGCTCACATATGTTTGTATGTTCAATTGTTTAACCTTTAGTACAGACATGACCTAGATTTCTAAACTGTGTACAAATAAGTCTTGATAGAGTAGTAACCATCAAGCAAAGCAGAGATGTACATCCCCTCTGGTGGGCAAGAGCATCACTCATATTTTTGTTATAGAGACAGTTGGTAGGTTTAGTGAATTCTGGAGCTTAACAGGTAAAATAGTAGAGTTTTTTTTTCTTCTCTTGGGTTAAATCTAAAATCAGATGGTTCGTTTAATAACAAATCCCATTGCTTGAGTTAGGGTTATTTGTTATTCTTAAATATGACACATATACAAGTATATTAAATAAGAATGAAGAAGCTGTGCATATTGTGTGGCTGGGTATGGCTCTAAATATAGTATCTGCTGTTTTTAGTAAACTTTCATTATAGCACTTGCATCTATTTTACTTATCTAAACTACAAAGAAAGAACCATTAAACTAAAAATTGTTCTGCAAACCGGCATATTACCCAGTAATGGTATTCAGCTCAATGGCACATAACAACAACAAATTACAAAGAAAGAACCCTTAAACTAAAAATTGTTCTGCAAATCTGATATATTACCCAATAATGATACTCAGCTTATTCTGAAGCTTAAGCCTTTTCTTCTATTATTAGTGATGGACTGAGATTTTTTTTAATATACTAACACCTTATTTAGATTATAAGCTTTTGAAGATTAAATGTGATACCATTTATTTTCTTTGAAGAATTAATATAGGTGAATTGTAAGAATTACCAGAATGATTCTAGTCTTTTAATATCCTACTATGACTTCTTAAATTACTCCCATATAGTCATTCACAATGAAGACAATAAATTAACTATGAGTCTAAACTATATTTAGAATTCAAGACTGAACCAACACACGTAAGTAATACCTATGTGGTGAATAATAAAGTCTTTGAAAGATGTAGCAGAAAAATTTAAAAACAATTCAAACATACTTAAAATTTTATAGTTTTAAGTTTAGCAACAGCTTTAACTATTCTTCAGCACTGAAATCTTTCTATAAAGGACCTCTTAAAAGTTTAAGTTTTTTTCCTTAACATTTCCTATATAAACTTAGTATTTAATTCTCTAACAATTATGTAATATTTGGGCTGTCATTAATTTTAAAAAACAATAGGTTAATTTTACTTTGTTCACTGGAAATTATGTTATAAAAAGACACTATTATTGAAATAACTATATTCAAAACTCAACTATAATGAGATGATGTTTTTTTGAACCAGACGAAAGATCAGTTTTCACAGCATGAACCAAGTTATTTCAATAATATTGAATATTTTCAGGGGAGCTCTGGTGGCCTAGTGGCAAGAAGCTGCAACTACAATCCCAGAGGTGCACGGTTCGAATCCACCAGATGTTCTGCTGGGGAAGGAGGGGCAATCTCCTCCTGTACCAGTCAGATCTGATTTGACGGTACATGTACACAAAAATAATAAAATTTTTTAAAAAATAATATTGAATATTTTCATCCTGTTTTCCCTTTCTCCAGAACAGACCGATTTGTTCTTTTGGCAGTCCAATACTCTTTTCCAACACTGCAAATAAAATAGATTAATGATTCTTGTATCATTTTTAGTCATTGTCCAATATTTCATAGTGGCCCTAATTTAATAGTAATGGGTATGACTGCGTATGTTTGTATCTGAAAGAATGCAACAGATAAGAAGGTGACAAGCATTCAAGATCCTATTGTGTACTATTACAGTATATAATAATGTACATTGTTCATTTTCTGTAGTTGAAGTGTTACTGATTTATTAACCCAAATGTTTTAGTGTAACTCACTTTCACACTTATGGAAGGAGCTGTGCATTCTGCATCCAGTATATACATGTCACTAGAATAAGTAAGAAATCAGCAATCCTGACTTATCAAAAAAATCAGCATCTTAGACTAAAGTTCTTGTTGTTAGGTGCCATCAAAATGACTAAAATTCACAGAGCAACGGGTCTGAACCTTCCCCTGTCCTGTGCAATTCTCACCATTTCTGACACACTTGAACTCACTGTTAGAGTCATTGTGTCAATTCATCTCATTGAGGTTTCCCTCTCTCATTCTGAATTTCCACTCTTACCAACATGTTGTCTACTGGAATTTTCTAGTTAGAGAACTACAGAAGAGAGTCCTAGTGGTACAGCTCATAGGATGCTGTACTACTAACTCAACAGCTGAGCCTCTCTGGCAGTTTGAACCTGCCACTACCTCCAAGGGAAAAGGACCAGCAATCCTTTCCTTTATGGTTCACAGTCTCAGAAACTCAAGAGAGGGTCAACTATGAGTCAGTTCCAATTTTAAAGTGGGTTAAGCATTAAGCCGGTAACCAAAACATCACTAATTTAAACCCATCAGTTGTTACATGGGAAAATGATGTGGCTGTCTGCTTCTGTAAAGATTTACAGCCATCAGGAGCCAAGAAGCTGTGCTGCAACCCTAAAGGAGGGCAGTTCAAATCCACAAGACGCTCCACTGGAGAAGAAGTAGCAATCTCCTCCTGTGTCGGCTGGATCCGATTTGATGGTACACAACAAGAAAAAAAAAAGATTTACAGTCATGGAAATCCTATAGTTAATTATACTACAGAGACTCTAGGGTTGCTATGAATTAGAATGGACTCAATGGCAGTAGGCTTGTTGGGATATGGATAGGTTCTGATGGGCCATAAAGCATTACATTGTGACAGGGAAGTCAGATTATTTGTTAGTTTTATCTGAATAGTAGAACAAACTCCAGGAACCTACTGTCACTACCTAAAGCACACCTTTTAAGTTGAGTAATTAATATTGTTTTCCAAGATACTGTCCTTATATCTGGTTTTATATTAATTTATGTTTTTTGTTATTGTTAAGTGCCTTTGAGTTGAACCAACTCACAACTAACTCTCCAGCAGGTTTTCAGAGGCTATATATTGCATGGGAGGAGACTGCCTATCTTTCTTCCGCAGAGTATAGTATATTTGAACTGAAAACCTTTGGGCTGCCAATGCAACTCCTCTCCACTAGGCTCCCTATATTCATTTATCAGCATCAGTAGGAATGATAGAAGGAGAATTGATGCCTTTGGGTTGTGGTGCTGAAGACAAGTATTCAATATACCATGGACTGCTAGAACAAATAGCTTCATCCTGGAGAGGGTGAAACAAGGCTGCTCCTTGGAGGCAAAGATTCTAAAGCTCCATTTGATATACTTGGGGCATAATACAAGGAGGAACTAGTCCTAAGAGAGGGACATCATGCTTGGGAGGGTGGAGGGACAACATAAAAGAGGAAGATCCTGGATGAGATGGATTGACTCAGGTGCCTAGGGTAATGAGGGTGGGTGTATTGGAGACAATGAGGTTGGCATAGGATAGAGCAGGGTTCAGAGCTGTTGTACAAAGGGTCATTATGAGTTGCAACATTATCATTTTAAGATAGCATAGCAATACATGTTATTTAATAGAAAAGAAAATTGAGGGAGAAAAAGGGTATAAGGGCCCCTGGGAATTAGTGTCTTATGCATTCCTAATTGCTAAAAGTTTCTATTTAATATTTTGCAAAATGGACAATATAATTTGGTTTTACAGTATACTGTGTTGTGCTGCTAATCAAAAAGTTAACAATTTGAATCCATGAGCTACTTCACAGAAGGAAGATGGGCAGTGTCCTTTCCTAAAAACTTACAGCCTCAGAAACCCAGTGGAGGGTTGCTATGTTTGGAATAAACCTGATGACATTGAGTTTGGTTTTCTGCATACACTATATTTCCTTATCGGTATAATCTCAAAGTTCAGGTTGTTTTTAATACAAAAACATTTCTACTGTAACAATCTTTATTCATGTCTTACTGGATAAATTTTTAATGATACGTTTCCTGCTTGAATGAGTAACATACCTGGCTTGTTCTGCCTCATTAAGAAAATATTCAAACACATTATTCATTATAACAACATCAGCATTTTGCAGAAGTGAATCCTGGGTACAGATGTCTGCGTGAAGCACCTAAAGAAGAATGAGCTCACATAAGTAAAAAAAAGCTGATATATCACACACAAAAAAATCACACAAGAGATCATGAGGATAAAAATGGATAGGGCAAGGTTCTGATCACTTGTTCATAGGCTTGCTACAAGTTGCAGTTAACTTGATGACACTGAATAACAACAATAGTATTTCTCTTGGCTGCCATTAGGATCATTAGTGAAACAATAAAAATTTTTCTATTAGTCCTCCATTCCTAAAAGAAGCTCATTAAAAAAAAATTCCCTTTCATAACAAGGAAAGAGATAACCCAGGACATTCATTTCCCCCATAACCAGAGTTTTGTATCATTTACAATTCCTCCTGCAAGCTCAGAAAAAGAAAATAAATTATGAGCATTACTTAAGTCTTTTCCTTATTTTCAACATACATAGTTTAATTAAAAACATATACATTTCTTACTATCATATACAGATTTTAAAAAATGTGGCTAACAATACTATAGCTGACATGAAGAAAAAGAAGGATATCTACTTATTAGTAAAAGTAGGTAGGAAGAGAAATATGCATGAGATGAAACTTTACAAATAAATTTTTATAACTATTTTAAAATACTAAGTGAGTGTGTTCGCTTTGGCAGTACATATACTAAAAGTCAAACAATATGGAGAAGATTAGCACGGCCCCTCCGCAAGGATAACACACAAATTTGTGAAGCGTTGTATATTTTTCTTTAGTCATCAACTATGACCTTCCCACCAACAGGGAAAACTATATCCACAAAATTGGCTGTGGTGGATGTGTTTTGCCTTAAGAGTGTGGTTATTAACAAGATGGCTGGCCTTCTACAACACCAATTAGGAGATGTCCCTCAACATTGCTGACCTCATCTAAGAAGGGCCATCTGTCTTGCTATCTAGCCCTGGCCCAGGGTCCAGTCCTAGAAGGCACGTGCAGGAGAGGGGGAGGGAAAGGAGCCAAGAGTTGGATATATTGTCTTTTCCCCCCCCTTTAAATAAATGCCACTTTTCGAGGGGGAAAAAAATTAAATGAGTTCAATCTGTTTCTACCAAGATTGTTAAAAAAGATTTTTCAGCTCTAGTTCAGAAGAGATTTGACTAAATTATGTTATATAACAAATTAAAAAATACATATTTAAAATAGTACCTTTATTCGGTCAGCAAACTGGTACTTTTTAATGACCATTTCCTGCAACTGGCAAAAGTCTTCATTCATTTCAACTCCATACAGTTGCAATGCTGAACTGTAAAGATAACCCTAAAATATTTACGGTGGAAAAATATTAACTTTTAATTAAGTTCATTTCCATTTGTAATTTAAAAAGTCAAAATTTTAAATATCAATTAATACAGTAAAACTAAAGTGAAAGATAAATAATAACATTGTGTAGTCTCTGTGAAACAACCTTAAGAACTTAAAGACTCTTACTGATAAGGGACTTGATTACAGTTTCTTTTATTCAAAAGTAGCTGTATTTTAAAGACCGATCTCTTATTTTTCCTGGTAAAAATATTTAACCAATAAAGTTTAAAATGAGAAAAAAGATGACAGATTCTTTTTGATAATTCCTTCATTAAATCACATGGGGGAGGGGGGAAAGAAAGGAATTACTGTGGGAAATAGAGTAAAAAAATTCCAATCTGTATCCTGAGTAAATCATTTGAGAATCTGGAGTATAAGAAGAATGTGACATCAGGACTGGAGGAAAATTTATCAAAAATCTGCATAATGTAGATGACACAAGCTTGTTGATCAGAAGAGTACTTCAAACACTTGTTGAAGGTGATCAGAGCATCACACTCTGATACTCGAGCAAAGTAGCCTGAGGCCTAGACTAGTTGAGTTTGGGAAGTTAGTTCAGAGTCAAGAATTATGTCAGATAGCCAACTGGTTAATAAGGATAACTGAGAAGTGATTATATATTTGTATTTTATTGTTATCATCTAGCAAAGAAAGAAATTTTATTAAGGGAAAAAACCCCCATCATGTAGAGGTAGTTAATTCTGGGACTGGATTAGTTAACCCTAGAAAGTTTCCAAGCTAGATTAGTTAGTAAAGGTATAGTAGTTAAGAGCAAATAGGCAGTTAAAATGTATTAAAGCTGTCAGAAGGCAGGAAAGAAAAGGCACAAGGGTTTAGAGGAAGGAATAAGGTGCCCTACAGCTGTGCTTATTTCTCCAACCTTTTGGCATGGTGCCTGGGGGTGGAGGGGAAGAGCTATATATTGGTATTTATCTTTTTTTTGGGGGGGGGGTAAAGTAACAAAATAATAATAACCTGGAAGGAAAGAATAAGTCAAACAATTTCCTGAAATTTAGATCAACTTATATTTACACAAAAACCAAATTTGTATCTGTTGTTCACTCATCATGGATGTTACATTAAACTGCATATGTAGCTATTAACATTTTGCTGACTGAAATCAGTACTCAATTGCTAGAAAATAACAATATATTCAAATTTATCAAAGCTGCCACCATGATTGAAGAGCCACAATTATTTCAACTTTATTCTTTTCTAATCAGAAAACAGACAAGAGTGGATTTTTAATAAGGTAAACAATCCTAATCTTCTAAGTTCTTTAAACAAAAACCATCTGAGATTTCGTCTTTTATATTACAGCTTTCTTTCAAAACTACACAATAAAAGTTTTAGCAATGAAAAATAATCATTAAAGAGTTAACTGTTTCTGTTTAGAGCAGGCAACAATCCCTGTTTCTGGCATGAGCCTCTACTGCTGTTGGCCACATGTTTTATCAAGTCTGTTAATGACAACCAGAAACTACATTTTAGTTTTTTGATAAAATCAATTAAGTACTTTAGAAATGCTGATGATTTAAATTAAAGGAAAAATAATTACATTCAAACTTTAGAACACAGCAAATGGGAGGAAGAAGTGTCATTGAGTTGGCTTGCAGGTGAGAAACTGTATGTAGAAATGTTAACTGACTTGCTTATGGCTATCCAGTGGTTTCCCAAGTCAAGTAACCCATTTGTAGTTTTCCAGGAGCTTTCTCTTATCAAAACTCAGCATAAGCTACTTAGTACAGTACAAAGAAAGAGGTTACAAGGGCAATAGTGACTGATAAAATAACAAAGTGTGTTGTTGGTATTGTTCATTTGTGCTGCAGAGATAAACTACTAAATAAAGGAGATCAGGCAGCTGGTCTTTGAAAGAACAAAGTCAATTATTTCCATTAAACAGAACTGAAGTGGCAACCTATGCAAAGCAATGTTAACCTTAATATTCTGTTCCTCCAACAAACAAAGCCAACCTGTCACCTTGGATGGTAGCAGGCAATTTCCAAATGTTGAGTATAATCATAAGCTGGACTTTACCCCATAGAGAACTGTGCCAAGTCTGGAGCCAATGTCAACCAAGATCTTTCCTGACAGATCAGGGAGTACATGATTATATATAAACTTCAATTCCACAAGGGAGAAAGAATGAGAAATAAATCCTGGAGAATTAAAACAGAGTGAACAGTCACATTTTGCTTGAGTCTTAATCATTCCATTCTGTACTTCTAATTCTTTAAACTACATTTACAAAATAATATTCATGTGTCTGCCCCAATTCCCACCCTTAATCAATGACAGCTGTCCATAAGTTATTTAGAAAAAACATTAATGTGATCATGTCCCACTCACCGACTCCACACTGTATTACAAAGAAAAAAATTAAGTCTCTGATGGCCTCTGGGGAACTGACTCTGATGTCTGTCCTGGCCTCTAAATCCTTCTTGTCTTATTGCTGCTTGTGCTACATTTGGTTTTTCCTCCTTCTCCCTATGACGTGCTACTCCCTGGATCTGCTTCCTAAATGCCACACCACCTGGTTCTTTCTACTTTTTCTGAAGCCAGCTTTTAGCAACACCATGTCCTGCTGCACAGACTTAATCAAATGAATGACTCCATCCCTGGAGTTGTACAGTGTGGCAGTTCTGAACAACTTAGAGTGCAGGAGAGGCTTGTATACAAAGGTTAAGAGATCTTCCTAGATTACTTTTCCCCCCTTAGTTTAACTTTCACTTCTAGCCTTCCATTCATCTTCTCACTCTAATTTCTATGATGAAATATGTAGGATTGCTTGACTAGTTTCTCTCTGAGGTAAAAGTACTGCAAACTCTTTCTATATTATGTTTTGTATAATATAATGGTAAGGAAAAGGAAAATCTTAGTAAAACCAACAGTGACAAAGAAAATAGATGCAGGCAGGCCAATTCTTTGGGAGAAAATAAAGTCTGTGGCTACATCTCAACAGTAACTCTTGGAAGGCAGGTGTTAACCATCATAGTTCTTATCTCCTTAGAATCCTCATGCTCACTTACCTGACTGCCACACTAGACAAGGCCAGGGTCACTGAGGGAGGTTAAGTTCCATAAAGTGACAACTTTTCAGATTTGTTATAGTTATGTGACCTGACCTAGGTAACCAATTCACAATCTGATTTTTTTTTTTGGAAGATACAGCATAATATTAAAAAAGATAACTTCTCTATAAATTTAGATCTGGTTTATATAGTATCTTAGTTGTAATAATTCATCCCTAGTTCTCTATCTGTTGTTCAAGATAGCTCTGATATAATAAGTCCTGAAGGAGTTGGGCTGCTAATCCAAAGACCAGTGGGTTCCACTACAGAAAGATGGGCAATATCTTCTTTTGTGACTTATAGGCTCAGAAACCCAATGGAGAGTCAGCTATGAGGTCAATTCCAACTTGATGGTAATAAGGGTTTGAATTCCTGTTATTCTCGTACAACTTTTTTATTCTATAAATTGAAATACCTCAAGTAGAAATCAGACATATTATCTCAAAATAAATAAAAAAAAATTTAATCTCAAATTATATCAGCATAATCAGTTCATAAAATGTTAGCAACATATTCCCAAATTTGATAGTGTTTAGCCTTTTGAAAATGCCTTCTAAGACCAATAATGCAGGTCAAGACTACTGTCTTGAGCCAGTAGCCCATTCCAAGCCATTAACTCTAAATCTGAGTGAGCAAGGAGATCGAAATAATCTGTCTAAAGCACAGCCTAGACTAACACATCCATTTTGAACAAAGAATGAGTTAACAGAAAAGTTTTTACATATTAGCACCAAGGACTCAGGCTGGTTTCTTGTTGTCGATGTATGTGCTACATCTGTGGGGTAGGAGACAAAAAAGACCTTCTTTCATCAGAGTTGGTCTCTGTTATGGTCTGAGGAAGCTCCACAGGGTTGAATGAATCATGGCCTGGATAAATTCTTCCTCAAGATTGTCTGTCTTTTCAATTCATGCTCATGCAATTACACCTGATCACCATCTAACTTCTGAAGTCTACTTTATATGGAAAACGTTCAGCCTTCTTGGCAGGAATACTTTGCATGGTAAATATATCTGCATTATGCTTTATATAACAATATCTTCCGAGTTTAAAGAGCATGAACTGATTGCTCTGTATTTACTCATACTTCGTTAGTTTTTAGACCTGAAAAGACACATGTTGTTAAACAGTTTCTAGATGTAAGATCTCTTCTATTGCTTAAAAAAAAAACCACTGGAGGGTCAGCTATAGGTCGATGGTACACAACAATAGGTGCAAAAAGCAGACATGCCCTCGTAGAAGACAGCAGCCTTTCTAGATACCAAAAACTGCTATTTATTTTCACAGACAGAAATATCCTGCAATGACTTTGTTACATGTTAGATTTTACTTTCAAAAAACATCAGATGACTTGGTCAAGAATCTGCATATGTGTAACACACAAGAAGAATGCACTTATAGTCAGTCATCAAGTTTGCATACTTCAATGCCTACTTAAAGGTGCTGTTTGGTGTGAACCACACACCATGCAGTAGTTTCTGCTCATTTTTCCTTCTTCACATAATGAATCAATAAAGTCTTCATCATAAAGGAATGCATCAACGTGAACTGTGGGTTCTGGCTGCTGCTGTATCTGGTGGAGAGAAGAAAAACATCAAAAGAAACAAGTACAAAGAAGTCTATTTTTATTGCTAAATAAGGCAAAACAGCAGTGGTTCACATGTTAAAATCCTGAACATAACAAAGAGCACAGACAGACAAGTTTTGCTTATTCAAGTCAATAACTCTACTCTCTTTCCTTTTCTTTCTGAGATACTAGCAAGTTTTCACTTGACCTGACATGATGCAAAACGTGGCTAGAAGAAATGTAACATTTTATTTGAAAGGGATGTCAGAGATCATCTTGTCCATGCTGTTTTATAGATATGTATTTTTAAAACAATATTTCTTTTAATATTTTGTGTTTTGAGTGCAGAGTAAATATGGCCCAATTGTTTCATGACAGTGTTTACTAAGTGTTTTCACCATGTGGCAACATTCACATTCATTCCATTCTGAATGTTTCATTCTAGTAATCTGATTTATTTTCCCTCTACTTGGTCTCATATAGATTTATTTTAAAAGTTGCGGGGAGCTCTGGTGGCCTAGTGGGAAGGAGCTGCAACTACAATCACAGAGGCGCACGGTTCGAATCCACCAGATGCTCTGCCGGGAAAGGAGGGACAATCTCCTCCTGTACCAGTCAGATCTGATTTGATGGTACACTCACACACAAAAAATAATAATAAAAAAAAACCAAACCACAAAAAAAAAACCCCATTGTGGAAGGAAAGACTCCCAAAACCCATGGGCTGCTTAAAAAAAAAAAAAAGTTGCATAGTACTCACTGTAACATTGGTGTGTTTTTTTTTTATGAGCCAATCTTTTATTTAGCTGTACCTAAGCAATATAAAGACAAGGACATTGACACTCAGATAATACTATTAGTAAAAGTGGAAGAGATTAAATTGATCCAGGTCTGAACCTTTACCTACCCATTAAAACATATACAGAGACCAGAAGGAAAGTAAAGAAGATCAAAAGTTTGATTTATAGGCCAACTCTTAACATGCAATGACTCCTTCATTTTACGTATTTGCTATATCATAATACTAACACACTTTTATTATTGGTAACATGTACACTGTATTAGAAATGTTTTACTCAGTTTTTATGTTGCCCATTCTTCCTTTGAGAATTCACTCTGAGTTACTAGTGTTTACTAAGATTTGAAAGGTGTCATGGTGGCACAGTGGCTAAGAACTTGCTGCTAACAAAACATTAGCTGTTCGAACTTACCGTCTACCTCACAAAGAGAGATGTAACACTGCTTTCCTAGAAACTGGGAAAGTCCGCACAGCAATTCTACTCTCTCATTTAAGAAAAATATGAATCAGAACTGATTTGTTCACAATGAATTTTTACTAAGATTTACTGTGTTCACAAAGTACAAAGCACTATTAAGAATATACAGGTTTTAGCTCCTGTGCTCAGAAGTTTGTGTAAAGGATCATGGGGAGGATTGCTGTATCCAGATCAATAGAAAAGAGATGATTTGGATGAGGAAGTAATATTCATAACACATGTTTCCCACAAAAGCTGGAATTTAAAGGAAGATGAATGGGGTGTTTTATGGTGAAAAACACAAGAACTAATTCTAGGAATAGAAGAATAAGCAAAAAAAGGTGCAATGAAAAAGCAAGAGAAGGAAAGAGAAAGGTGAACATCATCCTTGATAAGAGTAAAGGAAATGAAAAAGAGAAAACCAGGATAATGTTGGGATAACCAGATTACTACTGGGTCTCCCATCTTTATTTCTCCCATGCTTAATAAGCAGGACACATTAAAAATATTTGTTAATAACTATGAGATATCATCTCACTCCAACAACAATAGCAAAGTTCAACAGGGCAGCAAGCAACAAATGCAGGCGAGACTGTGGAAAGATTAAAACTCTTATTCACTGCTGGTTGTTGTTGTTGTTATTGTTATGTGTCACTGAGCTGCTTGTGACTCATAGCGACTCTAAGTACAAGTGCCCTAAACCTTGCCCTATTCTGTGCCAACCACAATGTCTACGATACACCAACTTCCACTACCCCAATCACTGAATCGATCCATCTCCTCAAGGGTCTTCCTCTCCTGCGCTGTCCCTCCACACTCCCTCTCCAAGGACTGGTCCCTCTTTGCAGCTTGCCCAAATTATGTCAGACGAAGCTTCTGAATCCTTCACTCCAAGGAGCAGCCCGGTTTCACCCTCTCTAGGACAAATCTGTCTGTTCTCCTAGAAGTCCATGGTATATTCAACACTCTTCTCCAGCACCACAGCTCAAAGGCATCAATTCTCTATCATCCCTAGTCACCGTCCAGCACTCTGATGCATACCACACAATTACGAAGACTATGGCCTGGATCAGGTGCACCTTAGTCTCCAGACTGACGTTGCTCTTCAGTACTCTGGAGAGGTCTCTGATAGTTGACTTTCCCAATGTAATTCATCTCTTAATTTCTTGGTTGCTGGTACCAAGAGTGTTGACTGTGGAGCCAAGTAAACTAAAACTGTTAACTATCTCAATCTCTTCACCATCCATACTGATGCTGCCATTGGTGAAAATCTTTGTTTTCTTGATGCTGAGCTTCAGTCTGTATTGAAGGCTGCAATCCTTGACTTTCTGCATTAAGTGTTTCAGGTCCTCCTCAGTTTCAGCAAGCAGGGTTGTGTCATCTTCCACCAATCCTGATGCCATATTCCTCCTTGTACAGCCTAGAATCCTGGATGATCTGTTCTGCATACAGACTGAAAAGGTATGGAGATGGAATACATCCCTGGTTGACCCCCTTCCCAATTTTGAACAATGCAGTGTCTTCTTGCTCTGTTCTGATGACTGCCTCTTGGTCCAAGTATAGATTTTGAATAAGCACAATCATATGTTCAGGGATTACCATTCTTAGAGTCAACCACAGCTTGTGATTCACACAGTCAAAAGCCTTTGCATAGTCAATGAAGTACAGATAGATATTCCTTTGGTACTCACTGCTTTCTGCCAAAATCCACCTAACATTAGCTATAATATCCCTAGTACCATGGCCTCTTCTAAACCCAGCCTGCACATCTGGCAGTTCTCTGTTGATGTGTTGCTCCACTTGTTTTTGGATAATTTTCAGAATCTTGCTTGCATATTAATGATATTAATATTAATGATGTTGGTTTTGTTATATGCTGTCGAGTCGCTTGCAACTCATAGCGACCCTATGTACAACAGCCCTAAACCCTGCTCTATCCAATTGCACTGCGTCTGACACACCCATCCCGATTACCCCAGTCACTGAATCAATCCACCTCATGGAGTCTTCCCCTCCTCGTTGTCCCCCCACCCTCCCACGCATGATGTCCCTCTCCAAGGACCGGTCCCTCCTTACAATATGTCCAAAGTATGTCAGACGAAGCCCAAGAATCCTTGCCTCCAAGGAGCAGCCCGGTTTAACCCTCTCCAGGATGAATGTTTTCTTAGTAGTCCATGGTACATTCACTCTTCTCCAGCACCACAGCTCAAAGGTATCCATTCTCCTTCTACCCTCCCTAGTCATTGTCCAACTCTTTGATGCATAACAAGCAATTGCAAAGGCCATGGCCTATATCAGATGCACCTTAGTCTCCAGAGCGACACCACTGCTCTTTAGTATTTTGGAGAGGTCCCCAACAACAGACTTTCTCATTGCAATACATCATATTAATGATATTGTTTGATAATTTCTGCACTCTGTCAGGTCACCTTTCTTTGAAATGGAAACAAATATCGATCTTTTCCAGTCAGTTGGCCAGCTGGCTGTCCTCCAGATTTCTTGGCACAACTTAGTGAGCACATCCAGGGCAGCGTCTGTTTGTTGAAATATGTCAACTGGTATGCTGCCAACTCCTAGAGCCTTGTTTTTTGCCAATTCTTTCAGAGCAACTTGAACTTCCTCCTTCATTACTACAGGCTCTTGCTCATATGTTATTTCATGAAATTCTTCTGTGTCAGCCAATTCCTTCTGGTTCACTGCTGGTAGGAACGTAAAATGGTACAACCACTATGGAAGGTGGTCTGGCACTTTCTCAGAAAGTTGGATAAAGAAATAGCATTTGATCCAGCAAGTCCATTACTGGGAATATACCCTGAAGAAATCAGAGCCACAACTCAAACAAATGCATGCACACCCATGTTTACTTCTGCATTATTCGCAATAGCAAAGAGATGGATGAAACCCAAAGACCCATCAATAAATGAATGGATAAAAAAACTGTGGTAATCCACACAGTGGAATACTATGTAGCACTGAAAAACAATGAAAACAGTAAAACATTACACAACATGGGGGACCTTTGAGGACATTATGCTAAGTGAATTTTCTCAGCCATAAAAAGATAAAAATTAAATAACACTGCTGTTATAAAACAGTATAGACATGGGGGGGTTGGAGAGGGAATGGCAAAAGAGTGAATATCATGAATACTGCATTAGAACAGATGAGAGAGAAAACTGTTTGAAAGGAATATATTATTATGCATTACATGTTTAAAAACAATTTGGAACAAGAGGTGCATTGCAGGGTAAGCTAGGGGAGAGGGAAGGATGGGAGAAATGTGCAACAAGGAATAAATAAAAGAGAAAAATAATTTGTTATATGAAAGACTAGAGAGTGAAACATTGAAAAGAACACGGATACGGCTGGAGCAAACCACAGTTTGTTAAAAACCAACCAACCAACAACAACAAAAAGAACCCCTTTACCAATAATCGAAAAAAAAAACCACTTAAAACTTATAAAGCAAAATTCAGGATTAATTAAACAAACAGTAAAGATTTATGAGAAAAAAATGATTATTTTTGTTGTTGTTGTGTTTCATTCATGTATAATGCTTTTTTAAAACCCTTGTTCCCTCCCTCTACCCATCAATATAAAAAATGCAGAATTCTCTTTGAACCATGTTCATGGTAAGGATTTTTTTAAGTTTAGTTAAATAAAAAAAGAAAGAATTAAGGGTTAATATAGAGAATGCTTTGATGGCCGAGTAGAAGGAGTTGTGCTGCCAACTCAAAGACACAGGGTTTC